CCATGCGCGTTCTTTGTAAGACTTCCAGCATCGTTGAAAGGTCTCCTTGACAGCCGCTCGTCTACCAGTAATCGCTTCGGCACCTGGCGACTTTGGATGCTGAGATCTTTGCAAAGTGCTCCTGGACAAGGGCTTTTGTGAGGATAGCTGCGCATACTCATCAACTGGGTGTCGGATCGAGATTGCTCTCCAGTTGAAGCGATCTCCAGTATCTGGAGTTATTGCTGGCATGGGCGGTCTTGTTGGACACGCATGCGAGCTCGGAGCATGTTCATGGTGGCCTGATGGGAAGATGGAAGTCCTCGATGGGGTGAAAGGAGCGGAAAAAGAGGTGATGGTTACAAGAAAAACGAAAGCCACCAGGAGCATCACACTCCATCTCCATTTTCTGAGAAACATGATTAATCTCTCATAGGTGCAGGCGCGAGAACTCGACGCGAAACTCATGGAAGGAGGAAGAGGAGTTGAGCAGAAACTTGACGCGCACCGTGCCATACCTTGCAGCTTGCAATGCTATTATAGTGCTCGGACTGTTTCGTGTTACGGCGCGTAAGACACCTCTTACCTGTGCCGCAAACGGTTCTAGGGGCCGTGTTACGCCCCAATCGCCTGAAAGAACATCGGCGCTTATGGTGAGTCCCCATGTCGTTTCTTACATTGATAACGCCAATTTAAAATGACATTATCGAGCGCCACAGCATTACCTCCTGGTATAAACCAGCGTTGACGACTTTGCGGTGTGCTACGCGCTGCGCGAAACGCTCGGATTCCGACTTCTGCAAGGTTGTGGCGTAGTTGATTCCTGATCGCAACAGATGCGCTTATTGGTCAAGTTCTATCACAATACGTCCGCCATGAATCCTCTTGGTAATTCCAAAACCTGTAACTTCCCTCATATGCGCTGCTAGCCCCTGATTCAGCTGCACTGTCTCGTCTTTTGGGTGTTCGGAGGCAATATACCCAGGCGATCACCATTGCGCCGAGAAGAAGCGTCTTTGCAAGTTTCTCATCTACCATTGCGCGACTTCGTGTGCTCATACCCTGCGCGAAGATGGCTCTACAATTAGCGCTGCTCCTCTTGTACACTAATCTCATCTTTGGAGCATGGTGTCAAACCATACAGGACAGCTGGACTGCGCCTGCGACTCCAAACGGATCTACGAGCTTGCAAAGTGGTGCACCATTCACTATACGCTGGAAGTCCGAGCTTCAATATGCATTCAACACGTACTGTACTTCGTGCGATGTCAAGAAGCTCGACTTTTGGGTCACAAGCTTCATGGATCAGAGCTACAAGTTCAAGATCGCTGGTGAGTGATGTCGCAGTAACTAAGTCAAAGGTTATGTAGGAAGCGTTGATATAACCAGCACTACATCGTTTCAGTGGGATGTCAACATACCTTCTTCCGCACTGATAGCCAACGACTACTGGGTGTTACGTTTCACACCCGTTGGCGCAGAAGACCCGTTCACGGAACAGATATCGTCGTCGGGATTCTATATTAGCGGGCCGCCTGAACCATCTACCATCTTTAATACAGTCACAGCTAGACCGAGCAGTAAGTCATGAGTAGCTTCGAGCGAAGTCTGTCAGCTAAACCTGGGTGTAGGTACGTCAAGTTTAACGTTCGAGTCTTCGACCACTCCAAGCAACACGAGTACAATCGCAACGCCATCTTCAGTAACAACAGACATACCATCAGCTCAAGACCCAGATTCTTCGAGTAAAAGCTGGATAGCTGGCGCGGTCGTTGGGCCGATTGTTGGGATAGCAATAGTTGGGGCGCTGTTATGGGTTTTGTTCAAAAGAAAACGGAAGAATGTCAGCACGGAACAAGTGGATGCGGATGTTGGACAAGATAAATACGTTTACCACCCGGCAGATTCCACGTACCAGGATGGAGAAGCAAAGTACGCTCAGACGATCGTGCGCCCCGCACCGTCAACGCACGTCTCCGAAATGGCTGGTGACTGGCAACATTCAGCAGATGGCCAAGATCACAGCCCTGCAGAGATGCCTGGCAGTGCTTCAGATCGTAGCCCGGCAGAGCTTTGGCAAGGGAACTATCAGTCTAGGCCCAAGTTTGTCTGTATTTCTGGCCATATGCCATTTCGGGGGTAGTCTACAAATTGGATCAGTCACACTGCCGTTGGATCTTGCAGGCACACCAAAGTAGCCCTGATCCTAGTAGTCCATTAACCAAACAACATCCCCCAAAGTGAAGGGCTCGATGAAGTAAGCCCAAGAACTACGTATCTCGACAGCCTGGCTTTCGGGTGCACGTCATACAACGACTCGCAAGATCTTTAGCGTTCACAGATCGTGCTGGCGGTGATCTGTGAATGTCGAAGCAACGCAAGCAGACAGCGCGAGCTCTGGTACGTCCCAAGGGTCCCGAATCACGTTCTCGTTCCCATTACTGTAGCATAGAAATCTAATACCCACACACAGAAGTTCTGTCTCTAAGCCTGGCAGCGCTTCAATTCATATGTGCAGCACTTGATCGAACCCACATAATATCTCTGTCGCACCTGTTGTCCATACTATCTCAACGAGACTGAACCTCACATCCTCTGAGATCGCAGGAAAGACCGCATGCAGATCATGGGAAATATTGCAAGCAATGCAAACCCAGACGCTACTTACAGCTGGTGCTGTCATCACTGTATGTTGCCTTTATGGTACGCATCGAGGCTTGCTAATCTTACCAGGTGATAAAATATGGTCGTTCGCACGCGCCGGAAACAAATGCCCAAACTGTGGGCATCGGAAGTGTTGGAGAAGGTGCGCCGTCATGGGCCTCGCGAGGACGGATGAACTTTGGACGGAGAGAACTGGATCGAAGAGGTTGAGCAAACGGACGAGGTCGCTCGTCGTGGAGAACTTTTGACTCTCTTGCCTTTATGGCACGATGGCGAGGGGTGGCACTTGCAGTGGGCATGAAGGTGGCTGGGTGCTGCGCTTGTGCCTTCCACATCGGTGATGACGTCATCGGCGCCGCTAGCTACGGAGAAACGCCCGAGGTCCTCTGCATCTGGCATCCACGACCTGCACATGTACGTAGGAGCATCGGATTCATCGCAAGCCTTCCAGCATGACACTATTTCTCATATCGGGCATGTTTTTCGGCGTGCTCGTCTCATTCGGGTACCGCCTGACGCCATTGTTGTTCAGCCCAAGAAGAGTCACTCTGGCATTTTCCCCAGCCTCGCTTCGCATGGGGGAGGTCGTGCTAGCGATCCTGTCAATGATAGCAAAATCAATTTTTTACGCAATTCCCGGGTTTCCGCGCATCAAGCTTTCAGCATTAGAGCTTGACTCCCCATTCACTCTAGATGCAGACGATGTTGTTCGGTATCAAGCAGCAGTTGGAGGAACAAGCAACTCAGGAGAAGAGCTCTCAGCACCGCAACTCATGCTGTTCCTTTCAGCCATGACCGAGCCGGCAATGCTACTTCTACTCGCCAGTCCCTGGTGTCCCATCAATCCACTAGGCGCAGTCAACGTGCGCAATAGGTTCGAGATATTACGCCCCGACCTATGCGACCTGTCGAGACTCGTGGATCTACGAACAGCCCGTCTGAAGGCGATTACAAGTAACCACCCAAGACCAGCAAGACGAGGCATCGAGTGGGATCTGGAGGTCGTGATCACCACTCCCACTGGTAGGAAGGATGGAACTATGGATATCATCTTTCGCCAGATCTTCACCATGCTAGAATTAAGAAAGTCACAGTCCAAGGAAATCCGGAACAGTTTACATGAGACCAGGTCTAGCATGGCGATACCACAGTTGTCTGAGAGCACCACACAGGTATCGATGTCAGTCGACGACCCGCTGAAATGGGCTGCGATCTGCAAGGACTACAACTTCATCCACCTATCGGGAGCGGCGGCGAAGGCCTTTGGTCTACCTGGAAAGATTGCGCACGGAAATCATGCAGTCGCTAAAGCTTTGCATCGACTGAAGGACTCGAGAAGCTCGCAGTCACCGTTCAGCACTTCCTCCTGGATGGAAGTGCAATTCAGAAGACCGATGGTCGTACCCGGTGTCTTCGATATCAGTTTACGCGAGTCTAGCCAACCTAGCAAGATATTCAGAGTTTCTCTTCAGGGAAAAGACTGTGCGACTGCGGAGTTTGGGAGCCTTCGGCAGTGAATATGCCGAGATGATATTCGGCTGCCGTCTGAAACCATTCTGGAGTGGCTGCAATGTGTGTCGCATTCTACCAAACTGTTATCCAAGTTTATGAGAAGTATACCTGCATTGTTGGTTCATTTCAACTAGCTTCAACAGCCCTTTGTTCCACTGTCTCGATCAGTGCGGCCAGAGCACGCTGATCCTCCTCCTCGAGATCTGTCTCTTGCCCACGCTGACCTTCTTCATCATCTTCAGGCCTATGAAATTCCCATTCGGGTTGTGGCGAATCCATTGACATCGAGCGACAGTCAAGGGAACAGTAACCAGCCATGGGGAGATCGGACGGGGTGTTGTAGCGGCTATCGAAAGGATAGTCCTCCGAATAGCCCAACTTGAAGTACCGAAGACGTCGGAGGCCAACTCGGAAGCGTTCGAATATTTGATGCCAACGAATATCCGGTGCAACTTTTCGACTGCCTCCAACAGGATAACCGAATTCGCTAAGCTCGTCGTCACCCTCATCATCACTCTCGGCCTCCTCCGGATGTGGAAGTAGCTGAGGAAAGTTCGCCAAAATTCCTCTTCCGAACAAGTGTACTCGACGAACAACACCGCAGCCATAAAGGAGTAGAGTCTCCAGCGTAGCTTCATGCGCAATGATCCAGTCGACCTGCCAGTCATGCGCGATAGTCCAACTGCCAAAACACAGCGACTTGAGATGTGGAAATGGTTCGACCTCTCGGAGGTCCATGAATGGCCAGACTCCCCAGAAGCAGTCGCAATCGAGCGTAAGACTAAATGTTTATTTGCAAACTCAGAACATGGCTTGCATATAGCTCGGAGCTTGTATAGGAAGACTTACCGTGTGAGTTGATTGGTGGTGGGCTTCAACCAGTACTTTGGGAGAAAACGTCTGAGACCATTGTGCGCCGCGTCTGCATAGGTGCTCTTTTGATCTTCCGGTTCCTCGTGGTACCTCAAGATTCTCAGTTGCAATTCTGTTAAGCGCGCTCTGACGGCCACGAAGTTTTCAGATTCCATGATATCCTGAGGCATTGCATCTTGTAAGTTCTGAATTGCAAGACTCTCGAAGCTCTCGCTCTTCGCTAAAGCTTGGAAACAAAGGCTCTGGATCTTTGCCCGGAAAGATTCATCCTCTTCAACCTCCGCCATAGTATTATTGAATCTGGTCTCAATATAATCGTCTACGGTGCAAAGGCTCGAGAACTTTAGCTCTACTCGTCTCAGTCTCTCCAGCTGTGCAAGTCGTGCGATGGCATCGCTGAAGGTACGGAGAATTTTGCCCTCTTCATCCACATATTTCCCGTCGTCATCGTCGTCGTCATCGTCGTCTTCTTCGTCTTCTTCGTCCTTGTACTCGTCGGGATGGTCGGAAGTATTGATGATGGCATGACGTACATGCTTTCGTAAAGAGGAATGGAAGATATTTAAGAATCTTTCTGGGTTGTTTTCGACGTTCGTGAAGGATACTGTGCGGAACAGACTCTCGGAAGCTAATTCGTGGATTCCTTTGTTCACCAGGCGAAGGGCCTTGAGTGTCGCCAAATCGTCGGAAAGGAGATCGATGCATCCCCGTTGGAGTTCGACAGGTAGTTGGATCATTGCGCTTACCTACCTGGGTGAGCAGCAAGTGTTTTGACTATAACCATGGTGGACGCGAGTGGCCCTTTTGTACCTAGGTAATTACCTAGGCGCAGCACAACACGTCATTTCGCCTTGCATGAAGCTGCAGCATTCGATAAGAGGTACATATCGCTACAGCCCAATTTAGGTATAATGTAAGTCATCTGTCAGACGTGCAAGTCTAAGGATCTTGGTTGCCTAATCATAGGTACGGTTGGGACCACGCTAGAGCCTTATAGGTATAGCTGCAGGCTACATCGCCTTTTCTTCTCGAGTTATGAGGGACACCACTTTCTCTTCACGACACTACTACCACTTCTAGCCTCTCTTAATGAACACTTTCCAGACTTTACCGATCACAATCCGTGAGCAGGTTTATCACGAGCTCTTGACCTACACTCCAGCTGGATACAACGATCCGTATCATTCAAATGCCGAGACGAGAAGTGTAGCTCGAAGAACCCGCCGCTTAGATGTACCTCCCCAGGCGTCTGCACCCTCATCGCCATTATGTAAGCTGCTCACATTGAGCCGACAAATCAACGCAGAGATCTTCCAGTTTTTAAGACGTCAACTGTGCGTGGTTGTTAAGAGTAATCACCCATGGTTTCTTCGGAGCATGTTCGACAAAACAATACCCGCGCTACCCGGGTGTCCAAGGTATTCCAGCGGCCGCCGGGTGAATTGCCCGCGCGTACCACTTATCTCACAGCTGCAATCCTGCGATGAGATTGTTAAGAAGGACTTTTCAGGTTTTCCTGTGGCAATGGAACTCGAATTTCACACGACCGGCAACCGCAACCCCAATCCTATGGAGAATACATCGTGTTTCTTGCTGCCAGCCTCGAGCCTGCCGATCTTGATCCGTATTGGCAAAGGTCATCAAAATCGGTGAGTAATTGCAGTTCTCATTATACCATGAAGGCGGATCTTAACCTGCGTCAGGTCTGGAAGCACTTCCCTATATGTGTCGCTTTTTGAGACGTTCTCACACACGCTTGAACGAGCCCAAGAGATCCTCATTGAACCTCTGCTGCTTCCCATTTCGAAGGCCCGCCTTAGATTTCACATTGTGAGCACCAATGACATGATCACTTCTCCTTGGGCCATGAAGTTAAGAGAGCACTTGATGAGAGAGTGGCCTGCTGTTTACTATCTTGACCATCTGGATAATATGAAGCATGCTCGTATGGCCTATGTATATCTTTTCGACTACATACGCAACGATACGTCGAGGGACGGGGTTCTTGAATTATGGCTCCGGACTTGCGAAATCGCTGCAGGGGAAATAAAAGCCCTCTGCCATCGCGCAGGTATATTGGAGTCGAAAGAGGAAGACCCAGCTGGTTCATCCGACAGTGTGGCATTGCTCCAGAAAGCGCGCAAGGAGGCTGAAGACGCGATCAGTTTCTTATCTGATCAGCCCATGTGTGCGAAGGAAGCGTCGCTAGTTTCAAAAAAATGGCAGCTTGAAGTTGGCAAGCTCAAATCTCTGTTGAGCTTCAGGGCACATGTCGTTTGCAAAGCACTTGGGGATATAGACGCTGCCATTGGATACCTCGAGGAAGCGATCAAGTATGACCCCAACTGTGCAGAGAACCCAGAGGACCGACCCCCAAAGCCAGTCTTTGGTGTTGGTCACTTTGAAAATCCTTGGCGCGTCTCCAGCCGAATGCCACTCGGTAATGTATACCTCGTAAGGAACCCAGTAGAGATGCTAGACAAACTGAAAGCCGAGTGTGGAACAAGCCGCGAAGAGGACGCCTCCGGAGTGGTACGATGGGAGGTCCGTATGTAAAGACGTTCCAGAATCAGATTATTGCGGGCTAAGTGCAGATCGAAGAAAACGTACCGATATCTCGACTGGTCACAGTGGAGTTCGCAAGTGACGCTAGCACCCCGCAAACAGCCTCAAGATGCCGAGGTCCATGCCATCTCTCCACCACAGCTCTGCCGACATGGCTGAATCGACCTTGACGCGTCCGCGCATCTCTGTGCATATACACATACCTCCTTGAAGCTTGCCTAAAGTCGATCGACCTCACCTCTACACCAATTTCCACCTCAGCCACCCCACAACCCTCCATCCACACCACCACCCACCATGACGCACGCCGCCTCCAAAGACGACCTGCGCGTCAGCACGCTCTTCGACTACACCTCGCACGTCGTCCTCGTGACAGGCGGCGCCACCGGCCTCGGCGAAATGGCCGCGCAAGCCTTCATCCAAAACGGCGCGCGCGTCTTCATCGCGTCGCGCAAAGAATCCGAACTCGCCTCCACAACCACCCGCCTCAACGCCCTCGGCCCCGGAAAATGCTCCTACATCGTCGCAGACCTAAAAGACAAAGCCGGCTGCCTCGCCCTCTGCACGGAGCTGAAGAAGCAGACGGACCGCCTGACGGTGCTGGTGAACAACACGGGCGCGAGCTGGGGCGATGATTACTACAACTATCCGGAACATGCGTGGGATAAGCTGTATGCGTTGAATGTGAAGAGTATATTTTATATGACGGTTGAGTGTGAGGGGTTGTTGGCAAAGGGAGCGGATGCGCATAATCCAAGCAGGGTTATTAATATTGCTAGTATGGCGGGTATTACGACTGTGGATGTTACGACTGGAGAGGGCGGGGGGTTGAGTAATCCGGGGACTGGGACTTACAGCTGTATGTTTATTGTTATTCCCTTTTTTTTTGCAGACGATCCTTATTAACGAAATGTCTAGATGGCCCAGCAAAGGCAGCATGCATCCACCTCACAAAGATGCAAGCCTCGAAACTCGCCCCGAAGAATATCATGGTCAACGTCATTTGCCCTGGCGTATTCCCCTCGCGCATGACGAACTTCGGACTGGAGAAATTCGCAGATGCGTTGACGGCGGGACAGCCGACGGGCCGTATTGGCAAGCCGAGTGACTTTGGTGGGCTGGTCTTGTTCCTGAGTAGTAAGGCGAGTGCGCATATCACGGGCAACGCAGTGGAGATGGATGGCGGAGCTACCTTGACGGGCTGGAGAGGGAAGGTCGGTGGCAGTGGGGAGAGCAAGTTGTGAATAAAAGGTGACGGGTATCATGTGATTAATTGATGGTTTGGCTACATATTTGCTGGTGTTGTTCATGTCGAATTTAAGAGAGCTGAGTAGCCAACTGAGTAACCTGATCCATAACCGCTTGATCCTCCCTGATGTTGTTCTCAATAACCTTGTCCCTCAAGTGTTCGACCGTCTGAGCCGGGTCTGTAGGAGGCTGGCCCCTCGCAGTCTGGATCCTCGAAATCTGCATCTCGAGGAAGAACTTGGGCGCCTTGATGATACCGAAGTTGCCTCCTGAGCTACGCAGACCAGCCTCAGTGGCCAGGTAAACGTTGAGCGCATCTTGGAAAGCTTCGAGGTTGGAGTCGGCGAGTGGTACAGCGGTGAAGAAGGTGCTGGTGGCGAATTCCATGGGTTTCTGGCCAGAGGCGGCGAAGTTGATCTGGGAGAAGGTTTGGCCGCCTGAGGTCACGTCGGGGACGTTTTCGATTGTTTTCGCGTTGGGGTCGCAGGTGACCTTGTCCTGGATTTGTTGGACGACAGTGGCCGTCTCGCCTGGAAGGACTTCGTTGCCGATGATGAAGCAGGCGTTGCCTTGACGGGGTATGATGTTGGCAGTAGGAGCAGCAATGACTAGGCCGCTGAGAAGCGTAAGGGCGGTGAAGGCGTGGGCGTACATCTTCGTTCTCGCTTTTGAAGGTTCCGTTATATGTATACGGCAAGAATATGAAAAATGTAACAATGTTGAATGGGTATAGCGATAATCAACGAACGTTCAATAAAAGCAGGTAAAGTACCCTAACCGGAGGGCAAGCAAAAGAACGAAAAGAGAACGTAAGTGTAAAGACTGACTGGGGCGACCGAAACCGACGAAAGATCGATACTCGAAAACCACAACGGCGGCCTCACCCTTCTCTTATAAAAAGCACAACCACCATCGTGAGATCATACCTTCAGGCGCGTAAACGGCAATAAGGCACACCTCCCTGTATCACCAGTTCACGACCAAACACTTCGCGACATTTCTGACAGGGCTGTCACGTCCACCTGGTAGGGGCCGTCGCGACGTTTCTGGTTTGAGATGATCTCTACCGTCTTCGCTTAGGCCCAAGGCGGCTGCCGAGCTCCGAAAACCTCACTGTTTCTACCAATAGCAGGTGGGTCGCTATTGTACCTCGTGGAGTGGGGCCTGGTTTTTGGCGGACATGCGAAACGCGGTTTGGCTGTTGGAGGGCATGCAGGATAGCTTCAGGAGCGTATGCAGGATGGCTTCAGGAGGGCAGGAAGGAGTTGTTCAATGCCGCTTTGCCCGAGGTGAGGGGATTGAGGCGCAGGGCGGGCGGGTTTCTGCAGACATGTGGGTGCGCGATTGAGCGCAGTCATGTAACGCGGTCATGCATACCAGTTGAGGTGTGGTGGAGGAGTCGGTACTGGTAACGGGAAACGATTCTGGAAGGCAGGGTGACTAATCGATACTAGCGCCATCATCACGGAGCCGGCACAACGGCACTGAACACCATAACACCACGCATATAAGTCGGTAGTTCGATTTTTGATCCACAATGGGGATATCGTAATCCACATACAAACAGCAGCAACACTGGTATCGACCGTATGCCCTGACACCAAGCCCTACTTTGCTTTCCCTCAATCCTAATCTCGAGCAAACGCCAGTCCGAGAGTCCGTCTATGCATGTATAAGAGCGCCCCCGTCGCGTTTCCAATTCAATGCCCGCATGCGCCATGCTTTGTGCGTACAAGGTCCGAAGAAGAGTATGTAGAATAGACAAAGGAGAAACAGAAGCCGCTCAAGCGATGCTGGTATGACCATAAATCCACTTTTGAAATCCAGAATGCGAATGAAATAAAGGAAAGGAGAGGAGTTGGTACTAGGCTGGTGAGGCCTCGAGATTATGTATAGGCCGTTCCACGTGTTCGGTAACAGGGTC